CACAGACCTGGGCCACTGTCATTAGCATGAAAAACCTGGTCAGCCCTCAGGTTCTGAGCACCCAAGGCAGCAACACCCAGGACAATGGGGTCCCCTTCTGCCGGTTCAGGGGCACCGCTCCTGGGCAGCTGGCCCCGCGCAGGGTAAGGTCAGTGTATTTGGCAACATCACCACTGGGAGCCCCAGGAGTCCTGACATCCTTGAGCTGCTCACCCTGAGGACTGTGATGACTAAGAACTAAACGTGTCTGGTGCCCGCCCCCTGGCTCCAACTCTCTTGTGCGGCTGCGAGGGGAGAGGACTGATCCTCAGCCCCGTGTCCTCTCCATTGCGGCCTGTCCCACCACGGGATGGCCACCCGAACAAAGACGGCCACTGCTCTCAGCGAGTGCACACACGTGACAGAGAGAGGGAAGGCTGGAGGTGAGAGGAACATAGAGCCAATCATCGTCATTTTTCTAAATGACACCTGTTCGGTCACCTCGTATCTGCTGGGCTGGAATATCCCGACGACGCAGGATGCTCGAGCCCACACAGGAGACTGCGCTGCCTGCAGTCACATCACTTCTATGGAGAAAACTCTTGTTTTCCATGCAGCGTGACTTCCCATGCCGCCACGGCGCCTCTTTGTCCTGGAGACTGAAATGGCCTTGGAAGAGGGCAGGGAGGCGGCGGCAACCAGGTGAGCTCCAGGACGGGCGGGAGGAGCGGTGGGGACCTTGCCGCCGGCTCCTGGCCCGCGGGTGACAGCGCGTGAAGGCTGACCTGTTCACGGCGCCTTAGGGCGCCTTTAGGGATGAAGCCAAGGGCTCTGTTTCTCGTGGCCGTTTTTGCATTTCTCTCCTTTTCCTTCCTGCAAGTCCCCAAGGAGGACGAGGAGGATGGCCCCGCAGCACATCGGGCCCTGCTTGCTCACAGCCCCGCCCACGCCCTCCCGCCCCCGAGTCCGCACCAGGCACCGCTCCCTGAGCAATTCCTGAGGCTTCTCGGAGACACCCCCCTCGAGATCCCCCAGGGACATGTTGGAAAACGTGCTCAGACCTGAGCAGAGGAAGAGGTCCCATCCAGTACCAAGGTGAGCTTGCCTCTCGTTTTGGGGTAGAAACGCTGCTTTCTTGGCTTCTTTTCCTTTTCAGTCAAATGCGTGGGTGAAAAGCTGGCCAGACCCCGGGGACGACATACACCATTGCCGTGGTCGGGGTGGGGACTGTCGCGGGAGTCTCTGCCGACTGAGCCCTGACCCAAGAGGGCGTTTGCAAAGGCCAGCGTGCCCCACAGCCTGGGCAGCGGAGGGCCCTTTGCTGGGCAGCAGGAATCCTCCTTGAGTGAGGGACGTGGGCATCGCCCACCAAGCGGGGCTCGGGGGCCCTCGGCCTGACCTCAGCTTCCCGTCCGGTTTGCTGAAGTCAGCAAGAGACCTGCAGACCTGTGCACACAGGGCCCGTCGGGGTCGGGTCCTCACTGCGATTTCTTTGTAACCGCAGGTGGCGTCAGAAACCAGGGAGAAGTGGGGCGTATTCTGGACCCACTCACTTGCTGAGGGAAAAAGAAATGCTGGCTTTCATGGGCAGAGCGGGCCGGATCCGAGATCCAGCTGGGATGGGCCAGGAGGTGAGTCCGCAGGGACGGGTCAGAAAACCCAGCGGGGCCGGAGACGTCAGGGGTAAGAAGGGGGGGCTCCCAAAGTGCCCCTCCCGCCCCGGCCCCGATCCCGCTGCTCTGCTCATGTCCAGCACAGGTGTGCAGGGCCGTGCTCATCGCCTCTGCTTACAGGGGGGCCTCCTGCCGGGAAGCCGCTAGGACCTGGGTGCTGGCCTAACTGTCGCAATGTCCCCGGGGCCCCAGCAGAGGGGCCGAGCCCAGGAAGAACCTGCAAACGCATCGTCAGATCGCGCCATCGAACTGCTCGCAGCGCCGGGCAACCAGAGGAGGGGCCCTTATGTCTTCCTCATCTTCTCATCTCTAGTCTTGCACTGGCCAGTGGGAGCCAC